AGTCTGTGATGCTTATTGGGATTCAACTGATGCTGGTGTTGTATGTAGACAGCTGGGATATGGTTCAGGTAAGGAAAGGTTTATAGGTTACTATGTGAGTGTCCCATCATAGGAACTGCATTTGGTAGTGCCCATTTTGCACAAGAAAGTGGAGCACTTGTGATGGACAATGTCCGATGTGATGGGACTGAGTCTCACCTTACAAACTGTACACACCTCACAGTTGACAAATGCTTTCCCCCTACAGATGCAGGAGTGAGATGTGCCCGTAAGTAATTCAATATTGTCACTGTGTTGTAATGATTTTTATTCAATCCTTTGAGAATTTAAGTATTACATGTATAAGTATACTTATTGGAAGTGAATTTTATTTTTCACTTTTGTCTCTAAGATTATGTATGGGTTACCCTCTCTATAAGCTATACCAAATTTAATGCAATCAAAGATCTAGATAATGATATATAGGCATAATATTGACAAGCGAAGACCATTTCCATTTGGAATAGCTTTAGAGGGTGATAATTTCCTTTTCAATCTAATATTGCCAATAATTGTTTGGAATTGTACAAAATAGAACTGGAACATGTCAAAGCTTTTTAGCAGCAATATAAAAGAGAAATGTTTTTTTGAGGACTCAAGAGAGAAGAGTTCACGGAAGTAACTTTATGATACTCTTCTTTTTTATGTAAATGCTGCTGAGAGTCAAGAAAAAGCTGTTATGATATAATGACCTTTGATCAATTGTTAATTACCAAGCGTTAGCGCTTGGTATGTAGGGTTGAGTTGGACGAGCGCACCCCCAAAATGGCTGCCATCTCAGAAGCATTGAGCCAGTGTAAATCTTCAGAAATTCTTTATGGTTATCTGACAGTCAAGATGTCCTTTATAATTTTGTGAAAACAGGTTAGTGTTATAAAAAATTGTTAAAACTTCTATAAGATAGTTTTATGGCAAATGAATGCATGCACCAAATGTTCAGGTTTCTTTCTCCTTCTTCCACGGTTAAGTAAGAACTAGTCCTACAGTTTTTATCATATAAAAATTATTTTTGCACCATTCTGTTGCACTTCAGGGATGCTAGTGCAGTGTGGCTTGGCATTTTAATAGTACAAAATGATTTTTCGTCGTCATTTTGAAACACACATGAACTCACCAAGTGGTTGGACGCCATTTTGATCCAGCTAACTGCGCATGCTCAGTATCATTTTAATGGAGTCTAAAGCCTTTGCTTACTGACAGAGTTACTGATCCTGGGACTGATCTGTGATGAGATTGAGATGATGTGCATGCCTAAACACCCTATCTACTTACACCAATTACTACTTCAAGTGAGAGAAAATTAATTATTGTGAATTATAATTCAGTTGATTGATTAGTAGACTAATTGATTAGTTATCCACTGAGTTCTGTGTTTATAATTCATATGCTTCAATTAACTTCAATCTCTTCAAGTAAGGTAAATATAATAAAGTAAATTGTCAGTTTTATACATTGAGTAAAGCATTATGGGTATGTTAAAGGGTGGGGCTGAAATACCCTCTCCAGCGCCACATGGTTTAGATTTGGGAGTGACTTGTGTGGCCCGGACTATGCCTTACTATTCCCATTTCTCGCCCACATGGTCCCCCATTGCTATTTCGTTACCATAAGTCCATATAATATTTTACGGTTGCTAATATTCACATTAATGAAAGTGTAATGAAGTACGTGTACCATGGAAACCGATAGAGTGTTGCTATGACAACAAGACCACATGTTTACAGTCTTCAGCTAATTTTCTATCTTTAGTAGCCATTTTACCAATAGCAACTTCTGTTCCTTTTTGTATGGACCTCTACCTCCAAACTCCTTGCTGAAAATTGTTGCTGATTAGTCGGTCATGATAACAAACCACATCCAAGCCAATAAACACTAACTGGAATGGGTGGGTAGTTCCAAGATATAGTAAGTAAGTAGAGTAGTTCTGAAAAGAACTGGTTAAGCTACCAACAACAACTCAAGAACACTGCATCAGGATGCTTTGCTTTAATATCGAATCACATCTGCATGATAGTTGTGGGTGCAATACAAAATTGTGAATATTAGCAGCCACGAATATGTCCTGATCTATGCTATAGCGGTGGAACATTAATTATACACTAGAGCTGTGAACCGGTTTTAGGTTAAGCAGTTAACCAACTGGTTACAGCATAATTTCAGGTTATCAGTTATTTATAGCTATAACCAGTTTTATAAAATTAATGATTTTATGCACTTATTTCAAGCAGGAACACTTATAATTTCTAGTAAATTGACCTTTGTGACCCACAAGACAATGTCATATACCATTGAAAAGAGAATATACGTTGTGTTGGCCAACTAAATCAAACTTTACTTATTGTAATTCTTACTATTCTTACATATTTGCAGTAGTATTATTAAATTTTAATCGATTAACCGTCAGTTATTTGTGACCAGTTAACCGGTTATGCTAAAGGGCCCAGGTTCACAGTTCTATTATACACATACATATAGTTTACAAGTGATAATGAATAAATAAATAATGGGAATAAATAAACCTGCCTGCCCAGGGATACTATGATTGGAGTGGCCTTAGCAAGGCATCTTTATTAGGGCAAAAATATTCATTATTTATAATCCTTATTAATTAGCAGGTATTTCCACAGTGAAATAAAATGGTGGATTGAAACGGGAAGGAGTCAGGAGCTCATTTCAAGCAATTGGTCAATAAAATTAAGATTGTACTCACCCTGTCCAGCAGCAGAATATGGATACACCTTAAAGCCTGTGACTGTCTCTACAACTATACTACAGGTATGTGTACAGTAAACTGCTTGCTTGCTTATTTTATTCTACATTTTATATCCTTCAATATTTGGTGTTTATTTAATAAAAAGCCCTAAGTACTTAATTAAAGTCCAAGTACATTTACATACATGCATAAGTACAGTTACATGCTTTTAATAATAGTACTTAAGTATAAGTTTAAGTACCTTTTAAAGTCCAAAATTTAGCAATCACCAAATTTAACTCCCTCCAAAATGTCCCACTATATGGTAATTAAGTTAAGTCCTTTAATGCATGTACATGCACATTTAGTTTAGAGCTACCAACTGGTTTCAGGCTAACTGGTTATGTAAAAATGCAGTTTTCATATTGTACATGTATCTGCATGACATGTGTCATGTTTATATTCTTGTACATGTAGTGCATTTGAAGAGTCCATATTTCTTCACTCAGTTTAAGTATACACACAAACAAACTACACTTGCTGCTTCAGTTACATAGTACATGTACTAGCCATTTTTGCCACTACTGGTAATTTTTCTATCCAATACCTACTCTTTTTCAAACTATTATATGCAAACCTTCACTTATTTTATTCAAACTCCATAAATGAATGTACATGTACTTTCATAATCATGCGCCTCCAACTCTCCTTAAGACACACAAGTTCACAATGTTATGTACATATTGTCAGATTTATACAAACTTACTCATAATTCTCTCTCTCCCTCCCTCAGTTCCTCCCTCCCCCCGTGTGTCTCCTTTCCTCTGTCCCTCTCTATCTCACACTGGAGCTCCATCAATAAACCTAGGTAAGTTTACGATACTTAGATTAAGTCTTTCTTTATTTCCTGTACATTATGCATGACACTTCAATTTACAAGCATGTACCACTTCATTCAAATTTTCAAAATTTACTTTTGAAGACTAGCTCATGCACATATAACATAACTTTTCCTTATTCAACTTAAGTTAGCCTACCTGGAATCATTGCATGGAATGCCACTTCTCTCAACTTCCTTCATTCCAATGCTGTCACATTTTCATGCTTTCTTAACGTGACTTGTCATCAGATTATAACTTAATTGTAGCAAAAATGTTTCAGCACACACTTGTTCATAATAATACAATTAATTTTTAACTTTCTTGTCTTCTTTTAGGCCTCCTGTAATGAATACAACATTTCAAACTCCTCGTCAAATTATATTTCTGTTAAATATAGATCTAATTTTTTTTAACAAATATTGTTTATTTTACTTACTTTTCAATAGTTTAGGATGCTTCTTTTCAACTGCCTTGGATGCACTTTCAGGATTACCTAAAAATTAAGAAATACTCTTCAAAATTGTACCAAACAATTAACTGCTTAAAAATTAATGCTCAACAAAAACAGTATTGTTCATTAAAAAAGGATGGGAACTAGAACAAAAAAATTAAAAAAATTATTTAGTGTAGGGTTGAGCCTTTGTTGGATTTGAACTTATAAAATGAATTCAAACAAGCCCCTGTAGGGTTGCATCAGCATTGAAACACCAACATGTCAACCCTACACTGCAGGTTCAATCATTATCATTACTTTAAACTTAATTGAAGGTATGCACAAGATTTACCACCATAATGCTCATTCAGTCATTTAATTACCACACTAGCATTGATAGCAATACCATCAGTGCTGCTATAGGCCATTTCATACCTGCACTGTAGGGTTGACATGTTAGTGTTTCAATGCTGATGCAACCCTACAGGGGCTTGTTTGAATTCATTTCATAGGTTCAAATCCAACAAAGGCTCAACCCTACACTAAATAATTAAAAAAATTTTTTGTTCTAGTTGAATATGATTTGAGTTTAGTAATACAAACTTGTGATTTTCATCACTCCATTATTGCTTTAGTTTATTCAATTTTTATTTTTGTCAATGATAAAGCTAAAAATTAATTTTGTGACAGCTATGACACGCATGGTTTTGATACTAGTGATAATAGAGTCAGAGAATACACTCTTCATTTTCTTATATATTTTCCTTCATAATGCATGTATGTGTAGGTATCAAATAGATCCCTTCAATTTAATGGCTATATAGTATTAGTAACTTTTACTTATGTTACATTTTTAGTTAGCATACAGTCACAGTCATGTTTGCATGAATCTTTAAATTATCACAGTACTTAACTTTTATGAGATGTTACCAACAGCTCTGTAGTATTGATTTGTAAATAATTATTTCATGCACTGGACTGATGTTGTGTGCATTTATGAATAATAATTTTTACTTCCAATTATTGATGTTTTGAATAACATTACAAAGTCATGCATCCTTTGATAATTATGGATATAATGGACTAATGATAAATGTTTCATTTTGTGCTGAGTTGCTTTTTAATTGTACATCAATCTATCACAATTGTTATTACTTTGCTACTTTGTACCGTATAGCAGGTTATTTTGGAGGATAAAAAATTTTGCGAATTTCACAGATTTTTCAAGATTTGCAAAATTAATTCCTTGAAAATCAGTATCACGGGGATTTAATTTTGCTAATTTCATGATTTTAAAAAATTTGTGAAAATTATTTTTCATCATACTAATTGTGGTCAGTAGAAAAAAACGCAAAAGTTTTTTCTTATGAATAGGTTGAAAGGTGATTTTTTGTGAAATATTTTCCCCGGGAAATATACCCCTATACAGTACGGTACAAGATGGCAGAATAGTGGAAATTCGTGAAAATTAATTCAGCAAACTTCCGGATACAGGTCATTTGGAAAATTCAATATCCTCATAATAAACCCACTATACGGCACTTTGTTTGAATTAGCTAATATTGTTGTTAGTTATTATAGTGATAGTTTATTAGTGTAATTTGTACTGTGATATGAGTAGAGTAAAAGGAAGTGTTTCAGAAAGTGTCATATTCCAAAAAGGTCACAACTCAAAATTTCGAATTCAGAATCAGCTCAATAATTCTACATAGCATAAAGTACATCAATACATGTATTTATCGGAAAAGGTAATAAAAGTTTGGGGTTATTTTTTGTAGCTATTTGCATCAGGCCATCAAATTTTGAACTGAAAGTATCAGTGCTGATAAGGCCATAAGGGACATACCATACTAACGGATTATCAGGTGCCCTTTTGTTGTTAAGTGCCTAGTTCTTATTAGGCACCTGGCTCAATGTAGCTCTTAGCATGGGTTTGTTAAGCACAGTACAAAGGTAGTAGGAGTCCAGACACTTTATATAATTGTTGTGGCCACGAACTACACTGTCAAAAGAGTATTCTTTACCACAAGCCAGTAAAGTGATTAATTAATTATTATTATAAACCAAACATACTTTATGTATCAAGCACTAGCTGAGTCATTATTAAGTGCCCTTTTTTCTGTCATTTTCTGCATAAGTGCCGCCACCTACGCTTAATAACCCATTAGTATGGTATTCATAGCTAATGTTCATTTGTTTGTGGTGCATTGGTACATCCATGATTGACTAGTACATGTATGAAAGCTACAATTATTAATTATTTTTTTATGAAATATATTAAAATATTTATTTACAGCATGTACTACTGGATCAATCCGTCTTGTTGGTGGTTCACATGATTGGGAAGGAAGAGTGGAAGTGTGTGATAGTGGATCATGGGGCACTGTCTGTGATGATTTCTGGGACTCCCCTGATGCAGCAGTAGTGTGTAGACAACTAGGCTGGGGAACAAGTGAGTTGATTTCTTTTGACAAGGAATGATATATTGTGACAGATGGAACTGCTCGATCAAGTGCCTACTTTGGTGAGGGTACTGGTAGTATCCTCCTGGATAATGTTCAGTGCAG